TGGGAAGAATGTGTAATTGTACTAGATCCAAACCAGTAAAAGGTGTAAAACATAACCAATTCCACGAACCTAGCTACTAACTGGGAAGAATGTGTAATTGTACTAGATCCAAACCAGTAAAAGGTGTAAAACACAACAAATTCCACAAACCTAGCTACTAACTGGGAAGAATGTGTAATTGTACTAGATACAAACCAGTAAAAGGTGTAAAACATAACCAATCCGACGAACCTAGCTACTAACTGGGAAGAATGTGTAATTGTACTAGATCCAAACCAGTAAAAGGTGTAAAACACAACCAATTCCACGAACCTAGCTATTAACTAGGAAGAATGTATAATCCTACTAGATACAAACCAGTAAAAGGTGTAAAACATAACCAATCCGACGAACCTAGCTACTAACTGGGAAGAATGTATAATCCTACTAAATCCAATCCCATAATTTTAAACGGGCAAAACTTCACAGCTCCAACTCCTTGGTTTGACGAGTTGGAGTTTGTGGAAAAATGCAATCCACACCACTAACGAAATACCAACATTAACCCAATAAGTTTAGCACATGTCGGAAAGAAGTGTAAAAAACATGACGGCCTTCAACTCCTAGCATCTAATAAGTTAAGACTGTAGCTTCTAGATAACAACAACTATGCTATACCCTTGCACCTCTTAATAGTAGAGGTTTTTAGTTATATCTTTGGCTTTGTAATTCATGTTCGTTTCAGATGTGCTTGTAAAACACCCAAGAAAGATCAGTAGAGGTTTTAAGTGAGCCACATTCAATTCATTGCGTAGAAAAGCCTATCAAGCCTTTTTCGAATAACACGGACTTTTCATTGTTTTTTATGCCAATAGGTCCACCAACCATCAAGGCAAAAAGTGTACAGTACGGAGAGTTGGGACAAAAAGTTGAAGTAGAATGTAGCATCTATTCGGTACCAAGTCCGGCTAAGATAACATGGACCAAAAATACTCAAGTAAGTATCCTGGCCCATGCCAAAAGACCTTAGGCAAAAACCTGTCGGGTAAGAATCCTGGTCTGTATAGAAAGACATTAGTCCAAGAACTGTCAGGTAAGTATCCTGGCCCATGCCAAAAGACCCTAGGCCAAAAACTGTCAAGTAAGTATCCTGGCCTGTATAGAGAAATCTTAGGTCAAAAACTGTCGGGTAGGTATCCTGGCCCGTGCCAAAAGACCCTAGACCAATAATTGTCGGGTAAATATCCTGGCCTGTATAGAAAGACCTTAATCCAAGAACTGTCGGGTAAGTATCCTGGCCCGTACCAAAAGACCCTAGACCAATAATTGTCGGGTAAGTATCCTGGCCTGTATAGAGAGACCTTAGTCCAATAACTGTCGGATAAGTATCCTGGCCTGTATAGAAAGAAAGACCTTAGTCCAATAACTGTCGGATAAGTATCCTGGCCCGTGCCAAGAGACAACAGGCCAATAATTGTAGGATACGTATCCTGGCCCGTGGAGAAAACCCTAAATCAAAAAGTGTTGGGTAGGTATCTTAGCCCGTGCCAAAAGACGCTAAACCAATAATTGTCGGATATAACCAATTTGAAAAATCATAAACCAAAAACTGTTGGGTAAGTATCCCAGCCGAAGAAGAAAAAACCCTAAATCGAAAAAAAGTTTTTTTTTGTTGTTGTTGTTGTTGTTGTTGTTTTTGTTTGTCATAGTTCACTTCTAAGTCATTGAAAAAGTTTTCACTAAGTGGAAAAAATACATATTACAAAACTTATGTTTAAGGATTAAAAAACTGCGCGTGTGTGAATGTCTGTTTTTTTCTACAATATTTTATTTGTTAAATTTTACTTGCATGAGTTTTAGTTTTCTATCGAAGAACTGAAACATTTTACAAAAATAAAATTTGAACTTTTATATTTTAAATACAAACATTATTATAGATTCGTACGAATGGCCGTTTCTCAAAAAGCATTCTAATGTTTCTCTAATATATATATTTTAAACAGAGCTTAATGTTTACGGCCTGGCATGGCCTGGTAGTTAGGGCTCTCGGCTCGAAATCTGCGGGTCGCGAGTTCGAATCCCGTCATAGAACTTGATCGCCCCTTTAGTCTTTAGGGAGTTATAATGTGACTGTCAATCACGGTATTCGTTGGTAAAGATTAGCTCAAGAGTTAGCTGTGGGTGGTCTTGACTAGCTGCCTTTCCTTTAGTCTATCACTTCTAAATCAAGGACGGCTAGCGCAGATAGTCCTTGAGTAGCTTTGGGCGAAATTCAAAAATCAAACAAACAAATTAAATGCTTATTGTCTCTTTCTATTCCACAGGTGGTCGAGGTTGACAACACACACGGCTATGAAATCGTGACACAACCCCTAACGGACGGTGTTCGAAACCTTCTCATAATTCACAACGCCGAAAAAGGAGACTTTGGCACATATAACTGCTCAGTCTGGAATGACTTCGGGCATGACAGCATGTTAATATTGTTGAAACGGCAAGGTTAGAACGAACAATAATTATGAAAAATGATTAACAGCGACTAACAAACATTAATGATAACTCGTTGTATTACTCTGTAATAACTGTAATAAAGTTATCCTAGTACATAATAACTAATACTCATGACAGGACGCTTATCATTTTCATGGGGTTAAAAGCTGACCCTGTGGTACACCCCTAGATTCCGGAGCTGCCGAATCTGTGTGACATCACATAATAATCCTTACACTTTCAGCTGTATATGCGTTATAGGAATGACAGATAATACCTTAGCGTGGATGATGAGTGGTAGGGTGCTGCTTAAGGGCTGCTTTTCCTTTGGTCAGTAGTTCAAAATTAGGAACTGCGGCTCATTGTCATAGTAACTTTGCTAAAAATACAAATTAATTTTGATGTGTGCTACCATGGTGTTATGATGGCAAATATTTTAAAGAAACTACTTAATTAATAACAACTAATGTTTATCTTGTTACTGATTCGGTTTTATCTTGCTAATGATACATTCCTACTTGTTCAGTCTTATCTTGCTAATGGTACATTCCTACTTGTTCAGTTTTATCTTGCTAACAATATTGTTATTTGTTCAGTTTTATCTTGCTAATGATACATTCCTACTTGTTCAGTTTTATCTTGCTAACAATATTGTTATTTGTTCAGTTTTATGTTGCTAATGATACATTCCTACTTGTTCAGTTTGATCTTGCTAATGATACATTCCTACTTGTTCACTTTTAACTTGCTAATAATATTGTTAGTTTCTCAGTTTTATCTTGCTAATGATACTTTCTTACTTGTTCAGTTTTATCTTGCTAATGATACATTCTTGTTCAGTTTTATCTTGCTAATGATACACTCTTACTTGTTCGGTTTCATCTTGCTAATGATACATTCCTACTTGTTCAGTTTTATCTTGCTAATAATATTGTTACTGATTCAGTTTTATCTTGCTAATGATACATTCTTACTTGTTCAGTTTTATCTTGCTAATGATACATTCTTGTTCAGTTTTATCTTGCTAATGATACATTCTTACTTGTTCAGTTTTATCTTGCTAATGATACATTCCTACTTGTTCAGTTTTATCTTGCTAATGATACATTCCTACTTGTTCAGTTTTATCTTGCTAATGATACATTCCTACTTGTTCAGTTTTATCTTGCTAATGATACATTCTTGTTCAGTTTTATCTTGCTAATGATACACTCTTACTTGTTCGGTTTTATCTTGCTAATGATACATTCCTACTTGTTCAGTTTTATCTTGCTAATGATACATTCCTACTGGTTGAGTTTTATCTTGCTAATGATACATTGCTACTGGTTGAGTTTTATCTTGTTAATGATACATTCGTACTTGTTCGGTTTTATCTTGCTAATGATACATTCCTACTGGTTGAGTTTTATTTTGCTAATGATACATTTTTACTTGTTCAGTTTTATCTTGCTAATGATACATTACTACTGGTTGAGTTTTACCTTGCTAATGATACATTCTTACTTGTTCAGTTTTATCTTGCTAATGATACATTCCTACTGGTTGAGTTTCATTACAACGCGAATTACATAGCGTAGCTAACAAACGCATTTCAAAACCAGCGACCATTATAGCTCTACAGTGTTAGTCAAACAAGAAGAAAACGGACGACAGTCGTCAAAAACTGCTCATCTTGTATTTTAGTAGCCGCAAAAAATACTAAATAAATGTGTAAACGCGGTGTCTGGTATAGGTTTCAAATCAACCAACTTATCACGCATTTATGTTCTACAGAACTCTTTATATAAAAAATTATCTGTCGTATTTATAAGGTATGATGTCTTATGCAGTGTTATGTCCTAGCGGTGGCTCAGGGATAAGTCTAAAATAGGGTTTCGATACCAGTGTTGTGTATTATAATTAATGATTTTAGCTTAACCCAAAAATAGACTATTAAAAGTGTTTGGAATACCTTCTGTTTAAATACTGTATAAGTTCTTTTAAAAATGGGGGTTTTCATTTAATTTGGATGGAGGGGGCGGGGTTATTCTACTGTGTCACAAATATTAAACACATATTTAGAGTTGTATGGTGTATGGACATAAGAAAACAGAAGCTGTATGTGTGTGTGTTATCAAAACTGTGACATTTAAATTAATTTTTATCTAGAAGTTCAACACAAGAGCTACAACGATGTTTCCATCATTTGATTTATTTAATGTCTTTGGAAAATAGTTTGTGACGTCTAAAATAATCTATGAATAGCTTCACGCTTTTGTTAAAAAAAAACTTTAAACGCCATTAAACCTTGAATATGTATATAGCTTCTAGAGCACGGTAATCTTAATCAGTTAAAAATGGTAACAATTGTTCGTTTTTGAGAAAACTATTGGTCTGCTATTAGGAAGAAAGCTCATCTTCTATAAAAAAAAAATAATAATAAAACCGTTTGTAATCCCAAATTAGAAAGCTCCCTCTTTGTTATGTTTTGTTTCTAATTAAAAGCAGTGTCGCATCACGTTCATTTGTAATTTATTAATTCTTGTCAACCTAGCTTTCAATTCTTTGTGATATCAGAAACTTCAAACCCCAATATGATATGTGTATGCTATGTATTTATGGTAAAGCTACTAAGGCTATGTACCACCGTACTTAACTACTGACCACATCAGCACTCTAATACCCAAAAAACCTTGAATGTCACTCTTATAACGCACCCAGTCTCGAAGTGAGCGGAGAGTATATATTGTGGTATCGCGGGGATTCGATATCGGCTCCGAAATCCAGAGCTCTTACAGCGGGCCATCTTGCACCCTCCAAATAAATAATAATACCTCAAAACAGGAGATAAAAAATATATTCAACTTACATCTAGTGTACTGTATATTTAAAAGATCTCTGAAGATTTGGGTTTGTTTTAAAACATTTTTTCTCAAACATAAGAGTAATAGTTCTTCACGGTTTTCAGTATGTCAATATTTAATGTGTTTAAATAGAACTCCCTCGAGTACAAAGTGTATATTTTATTTTCTAATCTTCAGATTCACCCATATAGCCTCATAAATAACGTTTTATGGTAGGCGGATAAATAATGTTTTCACTTAATGTATTCTAACTCTGTTAGAAATGCAAATCCACTTTTAATAATGCCAAACTTTCTTTTTTCATAAAGATTTCTGGACTTTATATTTCCGTAATGGTGAGTGAGCAGATAAAACGAGTGAATGTTCTGGATTATAAGTGGGTCACTAGAGACGTTCTTTAAAGCTTGTGATGATAGCTATCAAGTAGATAAATGTGTAATGTTCAGTGGTTTTTTTTTTCTTCCACCCGTAGAGCACATACCTACGTTAATCGTAATCGCTGGAGTTATTGGTGGAGTATTTCTCGTCGTATCAGTCACGATTGTTGTAATCCTATGTCTTCGCAAGAAATCACTTTCTAAAGGTAACTAGAGGTAGTTAAAGAAATAGAAAGAATATAGGGAGAGATAAAGAATGAAAGATAAACACGGAGAGAGATAAAGACAAACTGACCGAAACAAACAGAAAGGTAGACACAGACAGGAATAGACAGAGAGATAGTCAAACCGATAAAAACAAACAGAAAGACAAAGGGTAATAGAGAGACAAAAGGAAAAACAGAGTCAAAGATAAGGATAGACAGAAACAAACAGAAAGACAGAGGGTGATAGAGAGAGAGACAGACAGGAATAGAAAGAAAGATAGTCAAGCTAGATAGAATCAGAGAGACAGAGGGTGATAAAGAGTTCAATATAGACGCACAAACAGGGATAGACAGAGGTATAGTCAAACAGACAGAACAAACCGAAAGACAAAGGGTGATAAAGAGAGAGAAAGAGGCAGACAGGGATAGACAGATGTATAGTCAAACAGAAAGAACAAACCGAAAGGCAGAGGGTGATAAAGAGAGAAGAGGCAGACAGGGATAGACAGATGTATAGTCAAACAGACAGAACAAACCGAAAGGCAGAGGGTGATAAAGAGAGAAAGAGGCAGACAGGTATAGACAGAGAGATAGAGACCAATCGAGATGTAAACAAACAGATAAACACTCAAAGACAAACAAACATAAATAGACAAATACCTATTGAGCTAACACTCCCACAGCACGATATAAATGTTGGTTGATTTTATTTTTTATCGTATTACAATCTCGATTATAAGAGACTTCAAACAGATGCGTTTTCCTTTGTGTTATTATTTATTGTTTTATTTTATTATATTTTATATTACTATATTTATATTTTGGTTATTATCACTATCCAATAATGTTAACCTTATGAAACAGCTTAGTCAACCGAATCTCAAATAAACAAATCAATTTGAGATATTATTATTAAAAGAGATGTACATTACACATCCGAGAAAAACATAAAATATTCACATTCTGGACATTTTTTTTTATTTTATTTTAAATGTGCTTTATACCACAGGAAAAGAATTTGGTTCTGAAAAGCAAGGAAGACCGACAGATACCGTGTCTTCTCGGGAGTCTGACATAGAAATTGAAATTCGCACAAACTCGTCATTGCCGAACGACAACGATCAAAGTTGGGATGATACAAGCGACAAAACTCGCAAAGAAATACATGACTATTACAACTATACAAAGGACTATTCCGGATCGAGTCTTCCTTCCAGTATGGTAAGGATATATTACAAACTTCTTAAGACAAGAACACCCGCTTATGTCCCATAGACTCCAGTTTCAGATTCAGGACTTAAGAGAATTAGTGATTATTCCTTATAAATTTGAAGCAACAGCTTTTTTTTTTTCTCATTAATCATAGAGGGCAACTATCTCCACGCGCAGAAAAATATCAAAATGTTGAAATTAGGAGCCACTAGAGCATTTTTTTATGTATCTTTTCAGTTTATACCGTTATTTAAATTAGGAGCCACTAGAGAATTCTTTTTTTATGTATCTTTTCAGTTTATACCTTATGTTGAAATTAGGAGCCACTAGAGCATTTTTTTATGTATCTTTTCAGTTTATACCGTTATTGAAATTAGGAGCCACTAGAGCATTTTTTATGTATCTTTTCAGTTTATACCTTATGTTGAAATTAGGAGCCACTAGAGCATTTTTTATGTATCTTTTCAGTTTATACCTTAT